TTTTATGTGCATGTTGATTGATGGACAAATATTTCATTCGTCAAATTATCAATCTGTAGGTCAAAACAACATTCTGTTTTACCAAGACCTTTTCACCATTTTAAACACTCAACAACTTTTAAAAACTCTTTAAGAGTGCTAATAATGTTCAAGTCATCAACATACACAACTATAATAATAATTCATATCCTGACATTTTCATAAAAATTCAAGGACAATTAGGGTCATTCTTTTTGTACCCTTTTCTTTCTTGATTATTTCAATCCATATAAGGATTCTTGAAACTTTATTGAAAAAGTTTCCTTCAAACTTTTTTATGCTTCAGACGCCTTGATTGCTTCAAGGATTTTCATATAACCTTCATTGTCTAGCTAGACATTACAGTTATTCATTACATATATTCAAGTTTTTCATATGTTGACATATCAAAACAAACCTCATTGCATCCACCATAGAAAAAAAACATCACCAATAATGTCAGGATTTTTGCGATAAACCTTTATGCCCCAAGACACAAGCCGTAGTTAATATCTTACGGTTATAGTATTGCATAATAATTTATTTGTACCCCACTGATATTATACCTTGATTTATGGACTATCAGTCCAAAATGCCACTTTTCTAAGTGAAACAAAATATACTTGAATTAATGCATTTTACTTGGCCAATCATTTATTTGTCCACACTATATGACAAATTTGAATTCAAGATCCCCGTCACATTTTATATCATTGAGCGCTACCTCATATCAAAGATACCATCTACGATTATTTGGTATCGATTCCAACAAAACATAACTTATCGAGATTTTTTATTTTTTATTATTTTCCAGGTACCTGAACCTTTTCCGAGGTTTTATGAAGTGTTATGTCAATGTGCTCTTTTATAGCATTTGCCTGATTATCATGACCATACTGGTCATTTGTTTCTCTGCTTCTTCAAGAAATTTTGTATTTTGAATCAATAGGTCTATTACGTTTCCGACGTATCATAGACTCTATCCTTGAAGGACTTCACATTGGAGCATTTGGAGCTAAATTATATCACAGGGTCAGTAAATTCATCTGGCAATAGATTTGCAACATTATGCAAATGAATTATCACTTGAACTTCAAGTTCACGTTTTCTTTTAAAGAGAATCTAGATAATTCATAATAAACCTCACACATAATTTTCAGCTGCCAAAATGATCTCTCCCCCTTATGTTAGAAAATATAACATTCATCCCAACCTTATTTGTGAATTCATCTTTGTGCGTGGTGTAACAATTAAAATTATAACCGAACATTCAAATAATGAAAATTATTTGGTTCCTGACCCTGAACAAATTTTAATGGGGAAACCTTGTTGGCTTGATGCATACATGTGTTGCTACATGTTAAATAAAAATATCTTATATCAAATCTTATTTGGGAGTTTTGTTCTCATAACTATAATTTAGCTATAATTCGAGGCATACAATTTCTGCTAAATCGACCAGCATTATCAATATAATTTCATATTTTTGGAACTGTGCTCTTAATTTAACAATTTGAGCAAACAATCTTACAAATACCAATTTGTAAGTTGACAACAAAGCACATGTGATCATCGCATAGATGCATCTATCATATAGTTGCAAATAATCCACATGATAGGTGAATGGACCCATATTCACCTTTTTATATGTTCCAAAAACTTAGGGAATTGCAATCCCAACCTTAGCTGGTACAATGATCATTTTATCAAGAGAACAAGCAATACAAGAGAATTCTTGAAGAATCTTTTATTTATTCATTATATAATCAACATGAATTCTCAATTACATGTGCATCACATTTAAACCAGAATGGTCAACTAGTCATGTCAACTGATCTTTATTTTAGTACACTTATAATTTACTTTTGCATGTAATTTCATCAGCATGCCCACATTTGTGTACAACAAACAAGAGGAAAAAATGGGCAACCTCTTACATAAATATTTATAACCCGCTTCAATTGTCGTAATATGAAGATGATAAATCTTTTCATAATTTATAGTCTCAATATTTCTTTTCAATTAATCAGAAACTTAAAAGTTTCTTTTGAGACTTACTACAACCCCAATATTATTCCTCTCTTAATAATACAACTCATTAGAACTTGCAATTAATTTTGTGTACTATCACATATTCCATGAAACCATCATATGGTGAACATCTCCTCAAGGAGAAATTAGATTATTATTGTCATTGTTAAAATTATTACGAGCAAGACATGTTTCTTGTTTTTCTTTTGTTGTACCATAGGTACACAACCATTGCCAAATTTGTATTGCCACAAAAAAATATTATTTGGTCATGACACAACCTTTATAGGTAATAATTTTTCCTTCTTTTTCCCTTTTGGTAGTTCACAAATAAACATACTATAATTTTTATGACATATAAACGTACACGATCATTGATCATTTCTGCCAAATAAAAATATATTTGTTTCTTTGAAACCTCTCGTAGAGATGAGTTGTGGATTTCAAAGTTATCATACATTGATACCACATACTTTTCAAGGAATAAAGCAAATTCTATATGATGAATTTCAAGACTTTTTCATCAAAATATAATATTTTATCCTTAGTTATCATTTCATCATCACTGTGGTGCATTGAGACTGAAACTTATTGTCTTAACCATATAAGGTGTGTTACGCATAATTTTATGGGACTTGAACCCAATCCTTATCATCATGGTGCATCAAAACTCAAATTGATGTCTTACCTCTTGGTGCGATAGAACTTGAATCTACCGTCTTACCCTCAAATATTTTTCCTTATGGTGCATTCGGACTTTAACCTGATGTCTTACCCTTTTTGGTGCGATGAGCTTGAATCCATCGTCTTAACCTTAACCAATGGTATAATAGGAAGAAGTACAACATGACTTACCCTTTGAGTCTTTCAAAACAATCAATATAATATTAAAACTCATGCTATTAAAACTTTATATACATTCTTCCATTTAAGAAGTTTTATATAGCATGTCATATTCAACCAATAGTTGTATATGCCTTTGGTTCATGATAATTGTTAATGATTGAATATTATTGTATTCTAAATCATAAAAATATTTTAGAAAATTCATACTTGATTTTATGCATATAATACCTTGATTCTTATAATGAGATCAACCAAAACATAAGTTAAAGAAAAACTAAAACTCAATCTCAATTAGCTAGAGTCTCGTGCTGATAACGTGTTATAAAATCAAACTCAAAATATTATATAGAAAGAAGAAGACAAGAGAAGTAAGATGAAAGAGAGAAGACTTTTCTTCTATTCAAGTGTATATTACAATGGTGAATGATATCTCTATTTATAGGAAGAGAAATCAACCAAAAGGTCACCACTTTTAATGTCACATTAGTAAATACATTTCTATCTCAAAAAGGTTCATATCACCTTAGGAATACATATCCATGATAAGGATAAGTTTATGATAAGCTTAATAAACAATTCACTTAATTCAATGTATTTATAACATTTATCACTTTTAGGGAGAAATAGTAAGAAGTTAAAAGAGAGAAATGGTAACACATATTTTTAATATTTTAAATAAAAATAATTTATGGTCGAAAGTCAGAGGAGAGAGATGGTAACATATATTTTTAATATTTTAAACAAAAGTAATTTGAAGAGAGAGATGAGTGTGAATAAGATTTTTCTTTCCCATTTTTATGCAAAATAGACGTATGGGCTATTATGTGTCGATTCTTTTTAGGATTATATTTGCTAAACAATATTTACTTGGCTAAAACTTCCTAATTTGATCTAACAAGTGTGTGTGTGCGCGCATGCGTGCGTGTGGGTGGATAGGTGCGTGCGTGCGTGTGTGTGCACGCGCGCGCCTCCTTTGTTTCATCGTCATCGTACCCTACTCTTTTCGTCTCTTAATAAGTGAGTATATATATTAAAATCATACAAAGATCTTTAAAAAAAATCGAATAAGAAAATATTTTATCAATGGTAAAAAACTACATTTACACCTAAAAAATGATGGTATCTCCTTGAAATCTAAGGTCTGGCCGTGTAACACCTTTTTTCGCTGCTCCGACATTTTTTTACCGTCGAAGCAACGTCGTAGGGTTATTATTATCTTCATCTCCTCAGATAGAGACTCCATCTGTTCAGATCTATATTTTTCGGCAAACACACATTAAAATCGGTGAAAATTTTCTATATCTTATGATTTTATGCATATATTCATGTGTATGTTTGAGTTGTTGTGATTAACCCTTATTATTAGCCGGAAATTGGAACCCCGACGAACTTCTCACTTTTCAGTGAGCTTCATTTCTCCGACGGTAGACGACCCCATATTCTGTGATTTTATATATTTTCTCATGTGCTTCATTTGATATGCTTATTTTGTGTAGCAAAAAATAGAGGTTAGACTCCTTGGTGACTATAATCGAAGAAAATGACAATAAACTTTTGCAAAATTCAGTTCTTGCCACATTAATTTTTTTTACTTTATATAATTCATATTTTAAAAAGGAAATAAAGGATTAAGATTTTTTTTTCCTGACAAAATGAATATAATAAGGATGTGGTGAATGATGTGGATATGATGTGGCCTTAATTTTTCTTCATGGATCTGATGTGTAATCCACGTTAGACCAAGTGAGGAACACGTAGTGACTGAGAGGCTTAAAATTCTTATATTTAACGAGTTCAAGTGTATATTGAAATTTCATAGAGTAAAAGGGTTCAGTTTACAAACCGAGCCAAATATAAGGGTCTACCTGTCACACCTGGGTCCTAGACCCTAGATGAGACCAGCGTCGTTAACCCCTCAGAGGTCGCAGACAAGCCTCTTCTTAGCTTTCATCACAATCATACAGTTAAATTTAGCGGAAAATTTAAAACTTTTTAACTTTACTGAAGTGTACTTAGACTTCATATAATTCTTGAATAAGAGCGATATACTAACAGCTCAAAATAAACAACCATCTATTAACAGATTGAACAATTGAAATGAAGAATTCATAATATCATTAATAGTTGCCCAACCGGCCTTAATTCAATATCTTGGACAAATGTTTGAAAGGAAACGCTAGGGACAACATCCACTAGCTATGTGTAATCTACTAAAGCTAGAAAATAAAGCGTAGCATCCTCGAACTCAAGAGGACCTACCAAAGTTTGGAGGTACTAGTCCAAACAGCTTCAACTAATCTTCAGTCTTCTTCAAGGACCTGCAACTATAAAAATAGTAATTGTATATGGGTTAGTACACACTTGTTCTAAGTATGGGTGTATGCACATAAACACATAAGGACTATGCATGATCAAGGAAAGCTCTTCCTATAGCAACATGCCATTTTAAAAAAAAAGTGAAGTCACTTCACTTCCCTAATTCGTTATTTATGAATCATGTTATGAATATGACATATTTTCATGCATTTAAAGCACACAACTCATTTTCTATATGAACATAAGACCTTGAAATCATGAACATAATTTTAGAACAACTCAAGCAAAATTTAATATTTTTGCTCCCCTTAGGCAGAGAGATTCCTCTCCCAAACTTAAATTATTTTTCAGTGTTTTCTTCTTTTTGTTGTGTATTTCAATGATCTCCTTTGATCCTATGTTTTACTTACGAGTGCAATGATTCATTGTAGTCCCATTGCTACAATGAATCAAGTAAGTAATCCAAAAGTCTAAGGAAATTATTTGACTACCCTAGTCACAAGTTATTCTTTTCATTCTTGTTAAATTGGGCATGGAGTCTTTATAATCCAATCTTTATTGGCTATGACCATTATTTGATTATTTGCATAATATAAAGATGCTGGGGCATATATTCATACTCCAATTGATGAGTCATTATGTTTTGCTCCCTTTATTGGCATAAGCCAATAACTGTTAAAACTTCATTCTTATCAAACACTAATGATTTGATATACTAATGCTTTTGCTTACTTAGTTCACTTTTGAACTTACATTTCTTCTTCTTTAATCTCATGTTCACTTTGAACATGCTAGGTTGACTTAGGATATTCAGACTTTCATTGGGAACTTATGGTGCAATGACTAAGATTAACTTACATCATTACTTAGTCTAACTTCACCCTTTGGTCATCCTATCCAAACACCCCTCATCTTTCTAGTTCTTTCTTTCTTACTTTTTTAGAGAAATCTTTAGCATTTAACCTACATAGATCATGTGAGCTATCATGAAATTCAATGTCTTTCCCACACTGAAAAGAGGTGGTTCACCGGTCAAAGTGAAATCGAATACTTCCTAACTTTCTTAGGTGGATCCACTAGCTAGTAACCTATGCTGGCGACATAGTTTAAAGACTAGGAGAATTTGGAGACCCTTATCCACCTTGGTGGTAGTGTCATCTCAAGAGGCTTACATGTGCTTGCACACGCTCATTACTATTCTATCGGTGCTTAGCTCAATTTATTATACTTTACACTTTTAGTGCTGACTCATACACTATGGAAGCTTTCTTTTAGTATGAGGTATGCTTAGCTCAATGGATGACTTGCCATCCCTTTTTATACTTGATGAGAACTTAAATCTTACAATCGTTATGGTGTGAATGAGACTTGTCTCACGATTTTTAACACCCTCTTATGTGAGTATCTTTAACATAATTATTTAGGTGCAAGTGAGACTTGTCTCACTTCGTTTAACACCCCATTCTAGGTAAATTTTTCATAACTCATAAGCTTTTATTTCTTTCATTATCTTGTTCAATGTTATTTGGTAGTCTTGTACCATTCTTTATGAAAGTTATAATGACTTATTCAATGTGCTACTATGTTCACGAGTTAATTTAGATAGGGTATATTGGGACTTGTCCCAATCATTGGCATACCCCAGATTATGAGTTCATTGAGTTACATCTTGTCAAGTCAATCTTTATCATGTATTTTTTCATACAAGAAACATCATAATTTACATTGGCCATATAAGATTGGTATGAATTAGTCATTGGCCAATTCTAATACATATTTTGGAAATAATATTGCTGGCCAATTTATTGGCATAAAGCAAACTTTCACTAAACACTTGTCATGATATTATCACTAGCCAAGTCAATTAATTTCACGTATATATTATAGTAATCTCATGTAGATGATACTCTTAATCATACGGATCTAACCTATAGGTCTCATTTGACGTTATCAAATCACAGAAACCTACACATAATGATTAGTTAGCACCACAAACAAACAACATGCTCAAGATTTGCATTATACATACTACTAGAATTGGAAATAGGGAGAATTAGAGAGATGAACATTCGATAATTTCATTGGAAATAATCCTAGTTTCGATTTTCTTAAATTCAAAACGTTTGAAAAGCCTCCTTGGAAAAGGAATTCAAGAGAGAAAACCCATACCTTGCTGTAGAATTGAATCTACAAAGATCACCTTGTACTTTGCACGAAAACCTTGAAGAATTGCATTGAAATCGCCTAAGGAGAACCGAGAATATATTTTTGTTTTTCTCACGTTTGTTCACTGTTTTTCAGTTGTGGGTTTCTACTGGATAAACGTGAGTCTAAGTCATAGGAACTGAATATTGACTAATTCAACTTAGGCTAAATAACTTATTTAAATAAATTAATTAGCTAATTACCAAAATGTCTCTCCTAAATTGACTAAAAATAGGATAGCATTTGACTTAGCCAAATTCTGAAAATATGCTAAGGCTCTCGGGTTTGACCATGAATTTAAATTAATTAATTAAGTTGCTAATTTCATTAATTAAGTGACCTAGGGTAATTACTAAAGTACCCCTAAGTCACTAGGACCATAACCAACCCCTTTGGACCATCCTAGGTTAGGTACTATGATGTTTCTTTAGTTAGTTACTCGGCTAGTGTCACCCGATTAGGTCTTAGGATTTCGGGCACACTAGTTAGTTCATTTTAGTTAGTCTTAGGTTAGTTAGATAGTTAGGTAAGTTAGTTAGAGCCTAGGATTGATTAGGAAGCTCGGCCCCATGTGGCTTGACCCGACACATGCCAGCCCCCTAACCGCCCTAACCGAATCGGTTGGATTTGGTCACTTGGTCTCTCAGCCGGTAGCACATGCGTTGCCGTGCACTTTTCTAACCGTGCACTCTGTAGTTGCACTTGGAAAGTTCACTTCTTGTCCCAAGGATCCTCACTATGTCCTTGGGCACTACTTAATCTACATGATCATTTTTAAATGATCACGTGCTATGGAATTTAGGCTTGACACTTGGATGCCTCATACCTAATGTGTGTAAGTTATGAAATCAAAAATTGCAGGTACTATTCCTACACAAGCTTGGATTGGAGCATTTGAACATCAAAGTATATCTTAAGTTACTTGTTAATACATAAAAATTTGCTAACACCCTTAAGCCAATATTCTCTAACATGCCCAATATTACTCAATATTGGACATTGAGATGCATATGTACCCCAATACATATTCTTAAAACCTAATAGACTTTTCACTAGACAAATATATTTTCTGGAATGTTACACAACCTGATCATTCCGTCTATATATGTGTCAATTCCTCAAATATATAATATAAAATAAAGTCCAATTCCTCCTAATAATATCTGGTTTGGTTCATAAGGGAACACGATAATCATACTATTTTTATCTCAAATTAGTACATATATATGTGTGTAAAGAAATATTTACTTGTAATTTATGCTATTTAAAAATTTGATGTAAGAAATAGTTCTATATTATAGGAAGATTTGGAAAAGAATATGAATTATATGGAAAGATTATGTTAAAAAAAGTATTTAATTTATGACAAAGTATATAAATAAAATAACAAAAATAATATAATATTGAAAAAAAGAGTTATTTTTAAGTGAAAAATAGATTGGTGAGTTTGGAATTAGCTTTTTTTTCCTTCACAAATATAGATGATCCCTTCGGAAATTATTCGGATAAAAATAGAGAATTTGGGGTGGATTGTGTTATGTTGCAGCGTGCAAGCCGAAGGAACTAATTTCTTTGTTTTCTATTCGTATTGAATGAAAAGGATTGGTGTATTTGTGAATTGTGCAGGAGACGGAGAGAAATGAATCAACTCTCAAATGCGTTTTCATTGCTGAATTTGGATGTTGCAGATAGCCAAGCTGAGATTACTAATGGAGATACTGATAGAGTAACAGGAGAAGCTCAGAAAGAAGTAGATGAGCGGGTTCAGAAGCTAGAATCAGCTTCAGGAGAGTGCAAATTGCCGCTTGTATGGATTGACCTTGAGATGACCGGTAATCATTAGGTCATGATGTTTTCAGATTTTACCTTATGCATTTAACCACAATCATCTTATTGTTTTTTCTCGCTATGTTATCCATCATTATATACATACAGCTGTGGAATGATATGTGTTTCCTGTCCCGTTAAGGGTTTAGAGTGTCCATGAATGGTATGTTGTCTGTCCAATTATATTGATTGACGTTGACTTTTGCACCCAGGGTGACCTAATGGTCAATGAAGTGAATTGTGAGTCATGATTTCTCGTGTTCAATTTCTAGTGGAGGCAAAACCTCTAGTTCATTTCTTTCCATCTATCTAAGACTTTTTTTTGACAGTACGTTGGTGGGAGGTAGTAGGTAACTCGTACAATTAGTTGAGGTGTCAGTAAGCTGACATAGACACGGGTTACAATTTCTTATAATATTGATATAGTTTTCTAAATAGGCTGATGCCACCAGAGTCATCTTAAGATAGTTGTTTTGGGATACTGTTGATTTATCCTTCCCTCAGTTGTGTATCTTATGCTATGAAGGCGTCCTCCTCACCTCTGAACAAACCCATCTTCTCATTTATTGATTTAAACAAGAGTCTCTAAGCTTCTTTCGATCTTGTTGCCAGAGGCTGTTTTAAGTTCTTAGTGTCAGAAAACAACTATTTGATTCCTCATGCTGATAGTCAGAGATTAATCTTTCATCCCATTGTACAGATCAGTTATGGCCTCCTCTCCCCCACTCTGTACTTTGGTGTCCAGCAGTACTGTACTGTGGTTGTTGTCTGGAAATGTCTCTATGTTTCTTCCTATTCTGTCTGTCCTAAATCCTCATATTCTAGTGTACAAATGACTCCCAAAAGAAATTTAGAAGCTGGAAGAACTATATTGTGCTAACATGTTGATTTCCAGATATACCTTCAGCATGTTGAATTTCCCTTGATAATCCAATTACTATCAAAGAAATCCTCTGTGGTTATCCTTCCTTAACTTAGATGTCTATGAGTGCAGATGTCACTTGGTTCAGCGGTAAAAAGCGCCTAAGGTCTCTGAAAGGTTAAGGGTTCAATCCTCAAAAAGCACAACTAAGATGGCTAATGAGCCAAAATCTCTATATGTATAAGCAGATAGTTCTGCTTCTTTCACTTTTATGCATAATGTTATGCTTAAAGGATAAATGCCGTATGTAGCTTATCGTCTATGTCTGTCCATAATTAGTTTGATAGAGGGTGCCAAACTTCTGTGTTTATTTTGAAGGACAAAAGTGGAAGTTTTGCTAGATTGATAATTGTATGGGCCTATCAGATTCTTTTAATCTGTACATTGGCTTCACATCTCTTTAGGTGTTATTCTTCAATTCCAAAATTTAATAGCTAAACCGACTTGAGTTTTAATTTCATCAATCTTCTAATTTTCACTTTCTCAAAGGAAAAAAAAAGAGGAACTTATGCTGCTCACTTGATTTCCCACCTATTCTGACTCACTGCTGAGGCTAGTATATCCCTTAGTCTTGATATGCACTATGTGGTAGTCTGTTTCTCTTACCCAATTGTTATATGTTCCTCTTTTTTGTTGGGGGTGGGAGTGGGGTGGGTGGAGATGGGGTGTTATAGAGAAAGTGTCACAAAAAACTGTACCCACTGTTAGATGTTCATTTTCGTCTTTTCTGAAAAAACAGAAGCATAGATGGAAAAAAAGAAAGAAAAGTCAAAATCGTTCCAACCAGTGTTTAAAAGGCGGGGGCGTGAGGCGAGGCGTTTTATACTATATGGGGCGAGGCATAAGCCTCAAGACACGGGGCGTAAGTCCCATGATCTACGGACTGTAGTCGCATGTATATTCAATTTTTTATAGTTTTATTACTAATAAAATAAGCAAAAGTAAACTTTTCAATAATTATGATTTTTATGTGAGATAAAGTGTTAATATTCAATAATGAAGAAAAAAGGATTATCATTATTATTTGAGAAATATCATTACATCAACAAAAAAATATGATTTAAAGCAAAAAAATAAGAAAAATACATTAAAAACGCCCCGGTGTACATTTTTACGTCCAAGACTTACGTTTTTATGTTAAGGGCTTACGCCTCAAATTTTAGGACTTGCGCCTTATCGATCTACAATTTTAATTTACGCCCCAAAGCGTTTTTGGTACGCCCCGCCCGAAACTCGCCCCAAAAACGTTTTTGAAAACACTGGTTCCAACTAATGATAGTTTTTTCCTAGACTAGACAGGGTCTTATAATTCAACCATTTCAAAAAAGAAACATCTCAACCACTAAATTGTCTTTATCCTTCTATCAGTGGATATCACAAGCTTACTTGAAGCGAAGAGGCGAATAATGATTTCTTTAAAATCATGGGAATGAAACAAAGCTACAGAACCGTGTAACCAATCATAAGCTGGACGTGTATACTGCTCTAGAAAACTTTTGCATGTCCTACCCAAATGCACCAAGGAAAACATCATCGCAACATTTCCAATGAAAAGCATACGAGCCATGACTTTGTTTTGCTTGTACTGTAGGTTTGGATATTGAAGTTGATAAAATATTGGAGATTGCTTGTGTAGTTACAAATGGAAATTTGACAAAATCAATTGAGGTATTGCTAGCGATCCTTTTTTATCTTTTCTTACATTGCTATTCCAACTTTTGTCTTATGTTATTTAACACCATTATCTTTTTAAATTTTTACTTCTTACATTTACTTTGAGTTTAGATAATCGGGAAAAAAGAATGTAATGGTCAAATGATGCATAATACACTACTGTTTGTTCGAGTAACTTAAATTGATATTTACATAAGCACCCAAGGGTGTGGGACCTTGGGTGGCCTAGTGATCAATGAAGTGGTGCATAACCAGAGGTCTTAGGGTCAAATCCTAGCGGAGACAAAAAACAATAGGTGATTTCTTCCCATATGCCTGGGCAGAGTTACCCGGTATACTTGAACCAGAATACACTACCTAATGGTCGGACAAGTTATTTCTTTTTCTTGTCAATTATGAACTTAGCATTTGAAAGCTTAGTGTTGAGTCCTCTTGCTACCTTGTACTTGTGGGAGGTAGCAAGTACCCGGAGAGCGCAAGTTGGCCCATACACAGCCATCATAAAAAAAGAAGAAGATATACATGGTACTTATGTTATAATCCAAATTGACAGAAAAAACTCCTAGTTCTTCAGAGCTTTTCTTTGGATGACACTGATCCCACTGCTGGGAAATATGGAAAACTTTGTTGACCTTTTTTCACTGGACACTTCTTTCATAAATCATGGCTTGTGCATCTGTAAATCACCTCATATATCCCCCTGGTTCTAAGTTAGAAAGTGTCTTATTTTTCCAAAAACAGGGTCCTGATTTGGTTATACATCAAGCTAAGCTGTGTCTAGACAATATGGGAACATGGTGCCAAGAGCATCATGCAGCGAGCGGTAAGCAACTTACTCTATCAACATCATTTCTACATTTTAAGCACCCATTTTTAGTACAATTACCGTTTCAGTGATATCAAATACATTTTTAGTTCAAGATAAACTTAATTTGATTTAGGTTTGACTGAGAAGGTCCTTAAGAGTACAGTCACCGAAGAAGAAGCTGAAAAACTGGTACATCTTGCATTTTATCTTAAATATATAAGAGTGAGAATGCTAATATGTCAGCTTTAATTACAAAAATCTTTAGGGCATCATTTACACATCTGATTCTACTTGTTTGTTTTTGAACTGGTTGCATATAAAATTGACCCATTTCTAGTTATCCCATCATACTTTTGAAAGGCTGTGAATACCAGAGCTAGTAAAATAGCCTTTCATTTGCCTTTCTTTAATGGAAGTTCAATTTTTCTGAACTGTATTTTAGTTCTAGGCCTAATTAATCTTTTGATGATTGGTTACATCATCATATCATATATTATTACAAGTGGGAACAAAAAAGTTGAAAGTTGAAATACCAAAATAACCTTATATAGTTGAGTTACTACAATAATACCATTATATTATTATTATTATTATTATTATTATTATTAAATAGTAATTTAAGTCCCATAACAGAAAACTTTTTATATACCACTAAGTGCATTTATGAGTATTCCTTTTGCCATTATCATTGAGTTGCATTAACAATTTTTCTTCTTAATTGCTGAATTTTGAGCACTTAAAACAATTACCGTTTTAGATAAAAAAACTTAACATTAGATCATATGAAGAGAGAGGCTAGAGCATATGGAGAGATTCATACAATATCAATATTTAATTGAAGAGAATACATGGTTAGATGTCACAATTTATTATTTTTCACTTTTTAATGACTTTATTTGCTTAACTTTTTAGCTTCTACAATTAAATACATTCATTCACAACCTTTCATATACACAATTTCTCTCTTTATAAGTTAAATAGAAAATATTAGTCCATTACACTTTATATTTTTCACATCTTATAGTTCTTATGTAATCTTTTATTCATTGGTCATTTTTTTTATTGATATATTGCTTTGTTTAATTAACTTCTTTCATTTGTATGGAAATTTAGTGTTAGATATTTGACAATCTTGACAAATCATATAATTGAAGTAGTAATCTTTTTTTTAATCAATAAATATAGTGTATTCCACATGATTAAAATAAAAAGTTTTTATCAATACAATCAGAAATTCTTCAAATTCTATTGATCTTTGCAAGTTGCAACCTTAGTTGAACGTTTTACCAGAAACATCATTTTTATCCTTTAAATATTGTATAATGCATCAATTATTCTAAAATAATTATATCATTTGAAATGATTGGTATTAAATAACATGAGATACACGTGCAACGCACGTGTTCGAGAACTAGTTGGTAAAAAAAATATACTAGAAGAATTAGGTAGATAATGAGGATAGACTCATGGAAAGTAACTTTCACAAAATAGAAGCAAATGAAAGGGTTTTTCTTGTGAGATGTTTGACAATTTGATACTCCAAATTACACCTCCCTAAAGAAATATAAGCAGCCACTGATCAAATAAAGAGCCTAACAGAGTTTAGGGTCGATCCCTCAAGGAATGAGGTCTAGACATAGCCTAATTGATTCTTGGTTTTACTTTTAGTCAAGTTAGTAAAGCTTTATGGAATGATTGTAGTAACACGTAACACACTAAGTAAGATTTAACTGTTTTGAAAATTCAATAAAAGATGAAACTAGGGTATTTATTTTCCCCATAAGTTCATAATGCAGTAAATCCTATAGTAGTAACCTTGTCTAATGTCTAGCATGCAATGTCGGTAAGTTAGATATCTCCTAAGTGGCTGGCCGCCCACATAAGTGAATTTTACCATGCAACTTGGTCCGTCTACGGGTGTATGCTTCACTAACCCTTATCTTTGACCCCAAATTAACTATCCTAGCCTAGGTCAAGCTATTAGATGACGGTTGATGCCTTCATATCTCTTTTCCCATTCGTTTACCTTCCTTGGTCCAAGATAACATTTTTTAGCAAATCATTTTCCGCAGAAACAATTTCATTCACACCAAACACTAAAAGCAAAATATGACTAGTTTTATCTTTGAGCCTCTTTTCTTTGATCCCAAATTCCAGTCTTTCTCCATTCACATTCTCCCAGATTCCCCAAAAGACAAACTAAGCAGTTAACTTTTCCTTCTTACATATACCAAAACTAGTTGCTCAGAAAAATTCATCAGCTCAAAAAATAACGCAGCACAAAATAAGAAAGAAAAAGAAACAAACCAAATAAAGAGCTGAAACAAGGCGATCACCAGCATTATTCATTTCATGAAAATCAAGAACCTGTAAGAGAACAAAAAAGCACCACATCAAGAAAAAGGGGAAGGGTGTTTATGTGAATTCCCAGAAAATCCAATTGTGAAAAATATTGCAAATGTAAACCGCACTAAGGCCTCATTTGTTTTCATTAAGATTAAGACCTCTGAATCTGAATACACGTCTGAATCTTAAGATTTGCATGACGAGCTAGGTGTCTAGATCTGAATACACATCTGATTATTAAGTTGTGGTCTCCAAATCTGTACATTGAATGATTATTTTTTGTTTTCAATATTTGAATGTGCATATGAAATCAAACATTATATTAATAAAGTGTTATAAAAAAATCTTTCAACAAATTATTACTTTTTGATTAAAAAAATATCAGTCATCAAGCATAACAAAAAAAATCACGAATAAAAATATTTTATAGGCACAATATAATATCAAAAAGTTCAATAAGTATGATAAATTCTAGTCAAAAAATAATAAATAAGGTATCACATTATCAACGCCTAACATGTATTTTGGCTTATTAGAAAAACTAAAGAATTCTTATCTTTTTTCCAATAACCTTAATCCAATTCTTTAATTTGTGTACCCCAAACGTCATTCATGCTTTTTTGTTGCGGACACTTTCACAAAATGTACTACCACATGTACTGTATAATAACTCTTCCCATCAAAGTCCATCTAATTTTTCCATATATTCTTCAAATGTAGGTGCACTATTTTTAATCAATAACTCTAGAGCAGTACTCATATTCTCATCAATTTCCAATTCAGAAGAATAAGTTTTTTTCTCCCCAAAACTTTTTTTCCAGCTGAAACTGAAAATCGGGATAGAGATTATTAGAGCTCCATTATTTTGTGACCAACTAGTTCAACAACAATAACATACTAGTTTTATCTCACAAATGGGTTTGATGATCAAAGGGGATCGATATTATTGGCCTAAGACAAAATTCTAATAAAAGACCTCAAATATGTATACATAGTTATATTTTTAATTATGAATAATATTTGTTTCACTCGAAAATCTTGATGAACAAAAATACACTAAAAATATTATTGCAACAAGTGTTCTTGACAAACATCAATACACCCAAAGAAAATTATTAATATAAAAAAATACTTGTAAAGATTATGAAAATATATCAGTTCAAGAGAAAAAATTGCTGTGTGATTGAGAAAAGAGAGGAAGAAAGTTTGTAGTTATGAGAGCAAAAGTTGTGCAAAGACCGAGAGAGGCGATACAATATTATTTATAACTTATTAAATAAGTCTGAATGATGTTAAGACTCTCTTGCATATCTGATCTGTTCAGGTCCATTAAGAGGCTTTTTGAAAAAAAGAAACAAATGGACTGATGGGCTGAATCTGAATCATCCAGATATAAACATACAAACCAAATACACTTAATGGGTTGAATCTGAATGATTAAGATTCAGACCTCTATTAAGTGCAAAGAAATGAGGCCTAAGCAAGTCTTATCAACTGGGATTTAGGGAAGTGAACTAATCAGCTAGAGGGAGGGGTGAGAAAGGAGAGTGCGGTGAATCGAAGGGCTGACAAGTAGACGAGTGATGAGGTCTCTTTGTTGAAGCCTCGTTCTCACTATTTTCATCACTTTTGGCACTGTTTCTTTGTTCCAAATAACTTGCACAACACCATAGGCTTGCTCTTATTTTCAATAGTTAAGACTCATGAACAATTAATTTAGGATCACTATAGGAATTTCTTAGCTTATAACGTAGGCTCAGGGTCATGTGTGGTATATTTAGATTTAAAGTGACCTTTTTGCCCTCCTTGACATTACATTGGCTAGTTTCGTCTTTTACAACTGATACGTGTCTCACCCTTTTTTCTTTTCTCCTCATTCTTCATTAAAGCTTGGGTGTGGCTTTGGCTTTCATCTTTTTCGTTCCAGTATTTTTTCAGCTTTATATGCATTTGCTTTTCTTTTTAGCTGTGACATCACCTTATTTTTCTTTTCATACCCTTTATTTTCTTGTTTTCGTTTCTAGTAGCCGCCCTCAACTAAGACTTTTAGCCTGAATTGAGGTGCATGATGTCCAGGGAGGGACCAAGGCCAAACAAAGGTTAACATTCAGGCATGAGGAAAGGTGAATTGGGTAAACAAAAAGGATGGTGTATTCAAGGCTCAACCACTTGGATCTAAGTGAGCATTTTCATTTGATTAGTTGTTTTTAGCCTTAGTAGACTTAATCTCAGCAACGACCTATGATCCTTTTCTAAGTAACAATTCAATTATCCTAACGAGACTAACGGGGCTAGTTCTAGATTGGCACATACTGTACAAATGAACAAATATCTCGCACACATATGACACACCGTTTCACTATCACTTATCAATGTATCTGGTTCATACTTCAACTTAAGGCATGTTATCCTATCAGTTCCTATCATGTCATATGAAAATGTGACATAGTCAGCTTATCATTAATACCGATATAGCACAAAGCACAAAATTTGTAGGGATATCATTTTTCATCATCATTGCCATTATGCCTTTACTTCTCGTCTACTTTCACAATTTACATCCTACACATGTCGGTACAACAAAAATTAAATAGTCGTTTGGAAAAGAAACATAGGCAAGCAAACCCTAAGGCACGATCTGAACACTCTTTAAGTAGTTCACCCCAGCCCCACATAAAAAGTTGTGCGATGTCCCCAAGGCACTAAAAATGTAAAAGCGCTTAAGGGTCGAAGAACTAGCTAGAGGCATGTCGTTCCATCTGTGTGGACCTCGGTACCTCAAGAGTCAGGATCAATCGGAGGCACATCATCAATAGTGCCCTTTGAGCTCGAAGCTCCAACCGCTTGCGGGAAGACACTATCCAATCTACCTTCCTTGGATTGGATGGACTATAGACGGGTTGTCTCTATTGCACATCGCTCCTGCTTTTCGCATGCTCGTCATCCTCATCTCCAATATCAACATTGGACCGCATGTGCTTCCTACCCGCACTAGAAATGTCCTCGCCAAAAAGAGCTAGCAACACCTTGTCTCCAACAATCGGGAGTGAGGGACCAAATGATGGAGGTGGTGGTGGGGCAAAAGCCAGTGCATCAACATCAGTGCAGAGTCTGTCTAACTCCATCTAGAAACTCTCTAGGTCATTTCTTTGAGTGGTCTTGGGTCTGGCCAACATCCTCAACTCAAAAGCATTGATCCTCCTCTGATTGGCTTGACTCTTGCTCTGCCATCATAGTCTGCATCGTATAATGACCTGCGACAGTAGTAGAAGCTCATGGTGTGCTAGCACATGGTGCGGACGTGGAGGTATGGTTGCCTCAACGGGCTGACTAGTTGTGGTCTCCTGCTCTAGTTACTCTCCATCTTTAGGTTGCTCGGCGGTCGTCATCTTGGGCATGCTGAACAAAGTGTCTCGTCACGGTGCAGTTAAGTTAGCCTCATCCGTAATAATCTCAACATTCAAGGTCCAAGTCAAGCTTAATTAGAGGGTTAAGGTCCTTTATCATCGACGCCGTGTACTCCCGACATAACCCGAAAATCAACCAAGTGAAAGGGAGAGCCGTGGTGATTCAGAGGGCTCGCTCATGTATCTCTACAGTCAGTATGTGAGCAAAGTCTATCTCATATTCGACCATCAAACATGCCACCATCATTGCCCGATCATATGTCAAGTGGTCATTCTTCATAGTAGGGGATAGTCAAGAGCAATCAATAGACCACCAAAATTTGGCCCTGAAGTTTAGCGAGGCCGTGGTCTTCTTGATAGGGCCCAGACCATGTACCTAGTCTGAATTTACACCCTGCTCTGCTATATCTTGCGACCCATCTCAACATATCCTTTTGATAGGTGGCATCATTCATTGCCTTCAAATCCCGAACTATTTGCATCCGATAATCAAACTCTAAAATTGATGCAGAGTGCTAATAGGTTGGGCCATGCAGGAATCAACCGATGATCTGCTCAGAGATGTCAATCAAGAAATCCCGGACTATGGTGCTCAGTAGGGGAGGTTGTGCTAGTTTCTTTCTTTTCTTCGACATTGCATTTTTGACCATCGCCGCATAAGAGATATAGAACTCACGAATCATGTTTTCACTGTATTGGCGCGGGGACTCCCTATTAAGTTGCATCTGTGGCATCAGAACATAGGATGGATCTTCGATGTTGTATGTAGACTACCGGTCAAAACTCATGGCTCTTTAGCATTTCGGTCTGCAACTTTCTAAGAGATCTGGAATATCCCCAAAACATCAAAGCAATACAACTGTCCCGAGACCTAAGCAAACTGTAGTCGGAGTAGGACCCCCTTGAACTTGAGTGCGATTCGGATTGAGAGCTGGATTCAGACCCCTATGTTGAACTACCCTCCTCGCTCGATGAATAATATTTCTCTTCATATTGGGAGTTGTTGCTCGTGGGGTGCGACCATATTGACCGATTCCAGGGCCATCTCTATTTGCCAGGCTTGGTTTCGGGTGGTCCGAGGCTCTAGGTGGCCACTAAATTCTGGCCCACTCAACTCCTCATCGGATTGTTGGTCGGTGAATCGAGATTTAGGTTCGACCATAACTTTGCCTCCACACCTTTGATTACCTCTTGGAGGCATAATAAATGTGTAGGGGCTATTATTAACTTAGAAGTACCATAAGAAAGCCAGAAAAATTGAAAAAAAGGGGGAATTCACATATAGCCACTTAAAAATTGCCTAATTACTATTCAGATCTATAGTTTGATAATTACAATTAGTATTTGCATGTTATATGGAGGAGAGAGACGAGCGAGATTGGGAGAGAGGAGAGAGGCAAGAGGGGGGAAAGAGTGGTAGAAAGGTGAACTGTATATGTATATTGGTTAGATAGTTGTATATTATACATATGTATTTGTATATATGGAAAGAGAGATCGAGAGAGGGAGGCGAGAGGCGAGAGAGAGGGGGCAGAGAGTGGGAGAGAGGTGAATTGTATATGTATATAATTGTGTATTATACATATGCATTTGTATATATGGCGAGCGAGATTGGGAGAAGGAGGAGAGAAGCGAGCAAAATTGAGAGAGGGAGGAGAGAGGCGAGCGAGAGAGGGCAGAGAGTGGGAGAGAGGTGAATTGTAGATGTATATAGGTTAAATAATTGTATATTATACATGTGTATTTGTATATCCTGGCGAAAGTGACTAACAATACAAATTCGAAGTCAGCCCACGTAATTAATGTATAATGTTAGTCACGAGTTGTAATTATAGCAAACTATAGCTATGATGAGTTATTAAATAGTATAAATTTGCTTAGCCGCGTAATTTTCCCAAAAAAAAATCAAAGAAAACAAAAGAATTACACTGGGAGTACACTGTTTTCAGTCCTACGGAAGGGTACCTATGGACCATAGAAGGTTCTACGAGCCGTAGGACCCAATCGTAGGAAGGGAGGCCTAAATTCATAGTCCCCAACTTACATTTTTGACTTTCAAACATCTTGTACGAATCATATGTACGATTCATAGAAAGTTCTACAATTTGTAGATAACATTATGATGGACTTTGTAATTATCCCACACATCGGGTGCTGTCCTCTTTCCGAGCGGAGGCTGATCTTGCACTATTGGTGGGTTGTTCTGGTTGTATCCTTGTACCTCTCCTACACTCAGAAGTTGGGCTTCTTGATGAAAATTATTTTGAAGCAAAAAAGATATAGATGACGTACTAGAAGAAGAGAAAACAGAACTTTCAGAGTAGGAACTCAAGTTCTTGTGTCTAGTAAATGAATTTTTAGAGTAGGGAGAAAGAGTTTTCAATGTCGGAACTCATACCCTTAGCTGTTATAGAAATTCAAGATCAGAGGAGTACATTGGTCATGTAAAAAGTAGCATTGCCGGTCATCGAAGATATAGTGGCACCAGTCAGGGTAATAGAATGAGGTGTTCGATCCCTTTTGCATCGAGTGAAGGTTAGATTCCAGTTCTATTGGTCTGGACTACCATTTTATTTTTTGGAATAGGAAGATGAATTTGTATTTTTTTGGAAAGCAGAAAAGAATTAGGACGTACTAGAAGAAGAGGAAAAAGAATTTTCAGAGTAGGGACTCAAATTCTTGTTTCTAGTAAAAGAATTTTTTGAGTTGGGAGAAAGAGTTTTCAGTGTATGGACACACGCCCTTAGCTTTTGTAGAAATTCAAGATCAGAGGAGTACGTTGGTCATGTAGAAAGTAGCTTTGCCGTTCACCAGACAGAGTGGAACCATAACTTTCACCATAGCAATGAATGATGTTTGAATAGAAAGTGGAGCACCAATTGCTGTAGAGAGTTGTTCTAGACGCTGGAAGGAAGAAAAAGGGGAAATCATTGGCCAGGTGGACGACACACATTGATCGGCATTGCCCTCGATTCTTGAATAATCCACATCACTTCTACTTCCATTGGAACACAAGATTCCTATTAGTTGTGACAAGGGTCGTTATCCATAATTTTAATTTTGTCTTTGGAGAACTCCTCAATATCTTCTTCTTTCTCTACAAAATGTTTTCTTTGTTCGGTAGCAGAAGCTATTTGAGTCTCTACCAATACCATGTAATTGTAAAGAAAGAAAAAAAGGTGTGATGTTTGAGAATAAATTGCTTGATTATTCCCTCAAGCATGTTGGGGTTTAAATAGTGTTTACAAGTAATCCTAAAAAGGTACAATAAAGTAATTCTTGTTTCTAATTATGCAATTAAGACTTTAAACCTTTACAATATATATAAGGAATGAGATATTGCCATATTAATAATTTTCATAATTCTTAACCAGATCCTAAAGAGCAGACTATTATGTGCATCAAGATTTTGAGGGGTTTGTTAAGTCCTCTTAAAAGAGATGGTGCCTCCAAAATGCGTAGACTTGTGCACAGTTTTCGTAAGCTTGTGTTACCATCCTTGAGAGTGAGAAGAGTGAATATCACTCTTTAAGTGGGGTGTAATCTATATAATTTTTGTCTATGTATCATAATAAGCCCTTTATTGAGCATTCTTACCTACTACTTGTCTTTGTTGCAAGCACAAGTGAGCGTTACTGAAAAACTGGTAAGACTTCAAGAAACTTTTTATTGACGCGACAGATGGTGCTAGAAAGATTCACTTAGTTAATTGGAAGGCTGTTCCCAACGAAGTGGGGTGGTCTACGGGTAAAATATCTCAAGGTGTTTAACAGAGTTTATTGGAGAAGTGGTTATGACTATTTGTGGTGGAGGAGGACACCTTATTGAGGGTAGACAAATATGGCACATCCGGGGGGGGGGGGGGGGTGGGGACTAGAGATTTTACTGTTTCGTTTGGTTGTAGCATTTGGAGGAGCACATGACCTTTAGGGTGGGGGACGGAAGGAGAATTAGTTTTGGAATCACAAATGATATGGGGAGAGCCAATTGAGGGTGTCGTTCACTAACATGTACAAAATCTCAAACCACGTGGGGTCAACAGTCAACCAGACCTGCAAGGAGCATTAAAAAGAAGCTTTTTGGGACTTTACTTTTAGGGGAAACTACAAGATTGGGAGATGGAAGAGTTCCAAAGGCAATTAGAGTTACTCTTCAAGCAAATCAAGCACAACGTTTGTGATTCTCTTGGTGGTGGGAATTGAGGAGCGATGGTTTGTTTTACCGTCAAATCTCTCTAACAGAGATTGCTTGTGAGAGAGAAGATGCTTTTTCCGCATCTTTCGATTTGGATTCCTAGGGCACCCAGGAAGGTGTTTTATTTTGCATAATTGGCAGCGAGGGCAGGAAATCTGACAACTTAGAACTAAGGGAGAGAAATATCAGTCACGTTAGCTGGTATTTTATGTGCACGTCTTCAGGTGAAGAAGTTGATCATCTATTGGTGCATTGCAAAGTGACGTCGAGCTTCTGGAGGGTGGTCTTGAATTATTTTGGCGTATAATAGGTCATGTTGGGTACTATAAGAGAGGTCCCGCAAAGTTGGGCTGGATACATAGAAGGCAAAAGGCATGGAGGGTCGTCCCATTAGCTCTTATGTGAGTAGGAGAGCTTTTGAGGGGATTGCAAATGAGTTTTTGCACATTTTACACAGCCTTTTTTCTTTGATTGCTTTTTGGTGCAGCCTCCAAATTCCTCCTTGTATAGATGTTTGTGTGTCTTTTATAGAGAATCATGTTTTGATGTAGATTCTCTACTTTTTGGTTTGCCTCTTGTATATGGGAGCTTTCAATCCCCTTGTTAATAATACTTATTTACCTTATCAAAGAGAATAATGTTTGGCTTATAGGTATTTTCTCTTAGGAGTACAATTATGCACAATAACTTTTTGTAGTATGTCACTTTGATATCCAAACCTCAATTTTTTTGAATCCTATTTTCTCATGTGCTTGTGTTTAGAAAATGCCTCCTAGGTGTTGAAAATAAGCATATACTTTGAATGGCCACATCCTCACATTGGAATTGGTTGTTACAGTGAATATTGTTTTTATCTTTTCCCACACCAAAAAGGCAAAAGGTATAGCTTCATGTTGAAGAGCTGTGACTAACAACACCTTTTGTTCTCTCCGTCCTTTCCTCTTTTCTTTCTATTGTATCCTGATGTTGGTCTAATTTGGCAGTTACTATTTCAGTCTAAGTTTTCCCTGCAAATAATTAAGGTACAACATGATTGATAATTGAGATGCATCACTATTGCTACGGGGTCCATGAAACTGGTCTTTACATTAACATATTTTTGGTTGCATTATGTAGGTTATTGAATTTGTGAAGAGAAATATTGGCACATATACACCATTACTAGCAGGAAATTCAGTCTACGTGGATTTTCAATTTTTGAAGGTATATTTATTTTAGTATAAATCTATAGACATATCATTCTGAGGTATCTCATCGACAAATTAATGGATTTCTGATAATCATATGTGCCATTTCACATTACCTGGCTAGAGGCAAAGACTATAGGTAATTTCTTTTCATATGTCCAAACTTTGGTGGATAGAGTTACCTAGCAATTGTGATGGTAGGAGGTACCAAGTACCCATGAAATGAATTGAGGTGCACGTAAGCTGACCTGGACGAATAGTTGTCAAATATATATACTACATGAAGATAGTTAGGTAAGTGTCCTCCCCGTACTATTTCTTGTCAAATAACTTCAACTAGAGAATGCTTTGTCATTTCAACCCAAAATCTCCCAAATCCATTTCACTCTTCCCCTCATCACCCAAAAGCCCCTTTCTTCTTTGCAATATGTTTTGAGAATGCTAATAGGAAAACTACTTTTTCTTGCTATATTTTAGATCTAAAGCAGTTGTGAAGAGTGTAAAACATATTTTGATTAAAATTATTAACTCTCAACATAAGTAGAAAAAGAAGTGGGACGCAGGTAATTCCATTTAACTATTTCATCTCTGTTCCTTTAAATTTGACAAGCTTGAAGACTCATACTACTAATGAATTTAAGATTCCTAAATATGGTTGCTTTTGATGTCCATATAACAAATAAAAATTTGATTCTTTTCTATAGCACAAAAACCTAAACAAACTAGTCCCAAACCCATCAATGGCGATGCTATCTTTATTTAGCATCATTTTGGTTTTTGTAATACCCAAAATCTAGCAACAAGGAGATCTGGTGATTTAAGTGAAAGATACATGGAGGATAGAGATAAAATGAACCATGAATAAGTAAAACTGAAGCTGAAATGGGAAACTGCAGAGAAGAAAGGAGCTTTTCGGTGAGGTGTGGAAGAGGGATTTATGTTAAAAAAACAAAGAAGTCCCTAATTTTCATTAGGCGGCAAGAAATACTAAAGGGATTGTAGGAAAATTTATACAGTTAGCTGGACGAAAGAAAAGTGAGGAGAAGTTTGCTCAGAAATAAATACTTATTTCTTGAGAAGACCAAAACATCCCTACTATTTCAAAAAGGGGATGTGTTTTTATAAGGGTGTTCTGGTGAACTCCAAAAAAGGGTATATTGCTAATATCCTACCTTTATGTATTATGTTAGTCTAGTATGATTTAGGTGTTTCTATGCAGTTATACTCTATTGGCCTTCCAAATTTTAGAGCTTGTTTCTAAATTGTTCTCTTTCTAATTTATGCATGCAGAAATATATGGCGAATCTGGCTAGTCTATTTTCACATGTACTTGTTGATGTTAGCAGTGTCAAGGCATTGTGTCTTCGTTGGTATCCAAGAGGTAAAAACCAGTACAGGTTATTACGTTTTATTAGGTTTACTTTAATGAATTCCTTGACGGGTGGGGGTGGGGTGGGGTGGGGTGGGGTGGGGGGCTGTTAAGTATATAAGTAGAGACTAATATCCAATTTCGTTGGCTGTTGCATTTTTAATTTTGCATCTTTAATAGTATTTTCCTCGTTTTTCATTAGATGGAAAAAAGGCACCTAAAAAGGAAAACAAGCACAGAGCTATGGATGACATTAAGGAGAGCATAGCAGAACTCAAATACTACAAGGGACACATATTTAAAGCATCCAAGTCCAATAAGTAATGGTGTGCAAAATTTCCTATTTCGTGGTTATGGCTTCTTCTTTTAGGTTTTAGTATAACCAACATTATGCTTGATAGAAATGTCTGCAAGTGTTTCAACAAGTAACCAATTCAGTAGTAAGATATTATCATCTTATGTGGCCTGGCCAAAAAGTGGATGTGTGTGAAGGGAAATATCAGAAGAATACTTCTTCTTGCCTTTACAGTAATAGATGAAATCGGACTCGGTTGCAATTTCAAAGACAATGAATTTTCCTTTCAGTTGGTTAGCATGTTAAAGGAATATGCAAGTTGATTCAAATGGTTATTTAAATTTTCTCAACGAACGATGTCTTTTCCCTTTGGACCTTAAATCTAATTTTAAAGCCAACAGAAGAGGGCTTACAAGTTGTCACGTTGTTTTGACATTTGCAAGTACATAGGAAGGAAGGTTCCATTACAATTTTTAGAAGTTCCATGCTAATAATTATTTTAGAGAGACAAAAGGGAATGATCTCCAGCCTGACTCATTTGCTGAGAGTCTCAAACACAGCTGAAAAGTCAAGGTCTCCCAAGCCCAAGCTCCTTGCCTTCTTGAATGTCTGGAGTAAAACAAGTGTCGACAATAGAACATAAAAAGGCTACTAGAAAGAGTAGTATGATGTTTAGATCGGCTTACCTCATTTGCAGCAGCTGCAACTGGCATTGGCACTGCATTCTCATCTCCGAGTGCAAGAGCCAGCCTCATGTCCTTCTGCTGATGTTTCAGAGGAAATGCGGGTGGGTAGCTATTTTTTATCATGGCAGGTCCTTTCATTTTGAACATTGGGTTAGCTATGGCTCCAAGATCCTGTGAGAATGAATATGAATTCTGAAGATTTACTTGGATGTGTTTTAAGGGTAACATCAACTTGGCTATGGCCTATGCTTACCAACACATCGAGAAGGGTATGAGGGTCCAATCCACTTTTGTCAGCCAGTACAATTCCTTCTGAAAACGCATTCATCATACTGCACATTCATTCATTCATAATAATGTAAGACTCAAAAGTTTTCAAACACACAAGAAACATAAAAATTCCACTGCCAATTACCTGCCCATTATCATATTAACAACAAGTTTCATTTTTGCTCCATTCCCAATCTTTCCCAAGAAAAAAGATTTCTTTCCCAGGACATCAAAAGCAGGTACTACTTGATCGTACAGATCCTACAAGGATTCAACTAAAAAGAATTAAAAATTGATACAAGATCGAAAGGTTGTTTAGTTGCAGAGTGCTATGAAGTTCACTCAATAATACAGGGGATTTCACTATATTCATTTACACATAAATGCATATTTCAGTTTGCACACATGATTGTTATAATTGAATATAACTAGTTAGGCTACACAAAAATTTGAACGGACAAAGCTTGGAATGCACAGCCAATGCTTAAAACACAACTCATTAGGAGATAACTTTTAAGAAATATTTAGTTTTCAAAAAACAAAACAGAGTAACAGTTTCTTTGAGGATAAAACTATTTGGGTCGTGTTGTCTAATGAGTAAAACATGTTCCACTTATATCGAGTAAATAAAATATGCAGAGAGCACTTATGATCCTAAGTTGGGAATTATTTTTCATCTAAACTTGTAGGGTTTAGACAGTTTGAGATGTTAAGTTTCACCAAAACTTTTAAGGGTTTGACAATTCGATATGATAAGTTGGGAGCATTTTATCTTCAAACAATTAAGGATTTGACTGTTTGCGGAGTAGAGATCCTGGCTTCAAAGTGAACAATTGAGGATTAACGTGACTTGTAGCTATTTATGGTTTTGGCAAATCTTACAAGTTCCATGCTGTGTTTGAACTTGGGAGAGTGTGGTTCCAATTCCATTAAAGAGGTAAATAATTTTACCTTGTCACCAGCTGCTAGGATTACTAGTTGTCCATCTTCAGCTGGCTTTTTGCTCCCTGAAACTGGAGCTTCAAGGAATGAACCACCCTTTGATGTAATGGCCTGTAATTGTTGCAAATGTTAGTAAAGTGCGACTTATCCCTTCCCTCACATCTAAACATGAACGCGAGGGTCGTAAAATTTTAGGATCAGAAAGTAAGTCTTGCTAAGGATATACTCCAACCTATTAATCAATATTGAAGAATTAGAGTTGGGTAATGGGAACCTGGCTAATCTGTGAAGAAGTATCAGCATCAACGGTTGACATGTCTATATAGCCCTTTCCGGCACATACGTGCTCAAGTGCTCCGTGTTTGTCAAAAACCACCTGGGGAAGAAAGTGTGATTAGATAAATAAAGGAAGTAGAATTATATTGTATTGACATGTGTGTATATTAATTAACTGAAAGAGCTGCAGCTGGATCAGACAACATTGCAATTGTATACTTGCATTTCTTGATTACTGCTGCAGGAGTTTCTCCAACAGAGGCTCCATGTTGCACTAGCTCATCACACTGAAAAATCCATAATAAACATAAACACTAGGCCAAAATACTACTTTGGTGCTAGTTGTAAGGTAGGCGCATGTTTTGAGGGAGTTTTTGGTCAAAAAAAAAGAAAGAAGAATTTAGAGACATACATAGAAAGAAGCATGTAAACAAAAACATAAAAGCAGAGGGATGAGGGATCCATTTCAGGTTGAACAAGGAAACAATTAGATCGCATATTTTGGTTAACAAAGTAGAAAAGAATAATACCCTGGAGAGGGTGCGATTCCAAACAGTAACCTTGAAACCATGGCGCAGCAAGTTCACCGCCATTGCTTTTCCCATAATACCAATCCCTAGAAACCCTATTTCCTCCATTCTTTTTCTTTTTTTCTTTCTTCACTGATAATTCTTTTCTATTACTCTTATTATACAGTAGCTTGTTGCAAATACTCCTATTAAAAATGACTGCAACATAAAATATTAATTGATTATTTAGTATCTGCTTGTTTTGGTTGATTCACCACTTGAATCGTGCCACGTCAACCAGATTCTCTTCCACTCGTTTTCTCTATTTCCTCATTCCTCCATTTGTCTTTTTTCCTCTTTTATGGGAGCCCAAACTGAGTTTTGTGTCATCCCAATAAATCTACCTTCCCCATTTCCCTCTATTTCCTAGGGTTATTTTTACGGGTGACAAAACATCAAAAAATTGAAATATTAAATCAAATTTTTTTGGTATTTTGATTTTTGATTCGATATTTGGTGTATATTTTTGTATTTTTCGATATTTCGATATGTAATTTTTTGTTTTTCGATATTTCGGTTAAAATTGAAATATATTATATCATAATATATATTTATATTATATTAATTATTTATGTTAAATAATTTGTAAAAAGAAGAAAAAAAATTAGAAAGTAAAAGCTACTTTATACTTTTTTTAACTTTTAGTCATTTGTATTTTTACTTTATACTTTATAGAAACGCCCGCACCTAGCGAACCTAGAAGGCTAACCTAGACACCCTAATATGAAAATAATTCATCTTCTTCATTATTCCAAGTTACATACTTCCATTAGACCATTCTTCTTTTCAAGTTTTTCTTATTTCATTTTTTTGGTTCGTTTTTCATTAATTTTTCGATTGTTTTTCGGCGAACAGCACAGCTGCACAGGCGACAACAGACTTTCGAGTTTCGACGGTAGGCCCATCAAAAAACTGAATTAAAAAATCAAATCGAATTAATAAAAATCGAATCAAAATAATAAAAATCGAATCGAACTGAAATATTTTGGTTCGATATTCAGTAAACATTTTACAAGAATAGAAAATTGAAAAAATCGAAAAAAATTTAAAATCGAACCAAAATACCGAATGCCCACCTCTAGGTATTTCCACTTTTCACCCATTTTCATTTTTATTTTTTATTTTCATATTTCATTTTTTTAGATTTAGAAATAAATGTATATATTTTTGTATTATAACATTCCACAATGCTTAACTTGAATTTTTCCCTCTAACAACTTATGCCCAATATGCATAACGTCAATTGCTAAAGGATGAAATTTAAAAATTTCCCAATAAATCCTTTACTCCAGAATATAACAAAATTTTACACTTGATGAATCTTTATTACGACCTGATCAAATTCTTCATATTTGTAGTGCAAGAAGGATCTGACTAGAAAGTCATCTTTGTAGTTGACCTAAGTTGCAACCTTTATCACTTGGGTGGGGCTTGGCCTCCAAACTGTAGGGCGGCAAATCATCACTCGACAACATAGTTTTTGATTGAGTTGATTGATCTGAGTAAATACTTACTTTGTGGGAGAAAAAAATAAAAAAGGAGAGAAGATTTTGTCCACCAAGAGAGTCAATTAGCCTTGTGACCAACAAGTCAGATTTGAGCCGACAGGCTCTTGCAGAATTGTAGGGTAGGAGTATGTCCAATAGACCTTTGTAGTCCAATCCTTCTCTGGACTCCACACATAATGAAAGCATAGTGCACCACACTTCTCCTTTCTTAAACTATTTAAAGAGTAATAAATAAATAATAACCTTATTTAAGCGAATATTTGAATAATAAGTTTAACAAAAAAATAATTACAAATTCTTTTTTGAATATTCAACGTGGATTGCCATTTATATTTCTTAATAATGCAAACCTATAAAGATGGTCAATGAAAATTTTTATTAGTTAAATTCATTAACGTATATATTTATTTCAGTATTATGAGGTTACTCATGTCATTAGTCTTATCTAATTAATATTACTCCCTCTGTTTAAAAAAGGATGACCTAGTTTGACTTGTCGGAGTTTAAGAAAAGAAAGTAGACTTTTAATCTTGTGGTTCTAAATTAAAGTTATGTCAAATGTACCAAAATGCCCTTTAATCTTGTGGACTTAAACATGTCACGTGGAAAATTAAAGTTAAAGTGTTGTCGAAAAAGGAAAGGGGTCATTCTTTTTGAAATAAACTAAAAAGAAATAGGAACATTCTTTTTGAAACGGAGGAGGTACCTTATAGGCAATATTTACTTTGTATTTTTCTTGTTATCTAACCAAATGTGCTTTGCATGTGTATTCCACGTAAAATTCTTTAGATGTCATATGAACATGTGAAGAGAACAACTACATTTTATATATTCACATATTTTCATATTGGTTCTGAGTTTTTATTTTTTTAAAAGCTCAAGATGTTTTGAAATAATATATTTTAAAGTTAGAAGATCTTGTTAACTTGTTAATACATTTGTTACATATATAATACTATTGTAAAACAAGAGGAAAAAGTACTAGAATACTTAAACAAAAAGGTAAGACAAATGGTGATGACAAGCATAAAGATTTAGAACTTTATTTATTCTCCTCAAGTGTGTTTCACAAGGGTGAAAGACTATCTTTTTATATGATTTAGAAACACTTGTTACGTCATTTAACCAAATAAGTTAGTATAACTATAATAAATCGAATAAATATAATAAATACATACATTACGTTATAGATGAATTAAGAGAAACATCCACACAATTAAGTGAATTTGTAACACTCTCCCTTGGATGTTTATAAATAATGTGCCTTATTAAAATCTTACTAGGAAAAATCCAGTAGTAAAAAGCCTAGGGAAGGAAAAAAAGTACACACATCTTGTAATATGCCTTAAGTGCTGCTTCATTAAAAACCTTACCAGGAAAATCCATGGAACAAAACCTTGGTTAAGGGGAAAAAGAGTACAACACATATTTTTACTCCCCCGATGAAAAACTTTATTTGATATCCGGAGACGATGCATTCCAATCTTATATCTTAACTTCTCAAAGGTTGATGTGATAATGACTTAGTGAGTAAATATGCAAGATTATAACTCGTACGAATCTGTTGAACATTTATCTCACCATTTAGTTGAAGATCATGTGTAAAAAAGAACTTAGGTGAAATATGCTTTGTTCGATCTCCTTTGATCTATTCTCCCTTTAATTGTGCTATGAAAGCACCATTATCTTCATACAATATTGTTGGAGAATTTGTTTGCACAGAAAGACCGCATAATTACATAATGTGTTGAGTCATTGATCTTAATCATATAGACTCTCGGCTGGCTTCATGAATGACTATTATCTGTACATGATTTGAAGAAGTAGCAACTATTGTTTCCTTCATAGAATGCCACAATACAGTTGTACCTCCATAGCTGAATAAATAGCCTATCTTACATCGGTTTTTATGCGGGTTAGACAAATCTCCTGCATCTCCATAACCGATCAATTTTGACTTGGATGCATTAGAATACAACAATCACATATCAATTGTTCATTGAAGATATCTGAATATATGTTTAACACCTTTCCAATGTCTTCTTTTTGAACACAAGCTACATCTCGCTGATAAACTTATTGCGAAGAAAATATCTGGTTAGGTATTGTTATCAAGGTACATTAATTCCCCATCACCAAGAAACTCTTTATCCTTTTCTTGATGTTGGAATGAATCTTTATTTATATCAAGGGATCTGACAATCATCGGGGTACTTAATGAGTGTGATTTATCCATGTGAAATTGCTTTAAAACCTTTTTTCAGTATATATTGTTTGATGGATAACTATTCTATTTGTCAAATATTCAATCTGAAGGCTACGACAAAATTTTTTCTTACCAAGATCTTTCATTTCAAATTCTTTCTTCAAACACTCAACGACTCTTAAAAGCTCTTTTGGAGTTCCAATGATGTTCAAGTCATCAACATAAACAAATATTATTACAAATTCAGATTTTGACCTTCGTATAAAAATACAAGGACAAATATGGTCATTCTTATATCCTTCATTAGCAAGTATTTGCTAACACGGTTATACCACATTCACCTGATTGTTTCAATCCATTTAAAGATTTTGGAAGCTTTATTGAACAACTTTATTTTGAATTTTTGTATGCTTCAGGCACTTTGAGTGCATAAGGGATTTTCATACAAATATTTTGGTCTAGTGAGCCATATAAATAGGCTGTGATAACGTCCATTAGATGCATTTCAAGTTTTTCATGAACTGTCATATTTATTAGATACCTGAAGGTAATTGCATCTACCATAGGAGAATACGTCTCCTCATAATCAATGCCAGACCTTTGTGAAAGTCATTGTGCCACAGTTCGTGCTTTATATCTTATGAATTTATAACTTTCATTGTGTTTTCGCACAATGATCCATTTGTGTCTCAATGGCTTGAAACCTTTAGGTGTTCGGACTGTTGGTCCAAAAACATCACGTTTTTCAAGTGAAGCCAATTCCTTTTGAATTACTTCCTTCCATTTTGGCCAATCATTTCTCTGTCCACATTCATTGGCAAATCTTGTTTTCAAATTCTCATCTTGTTGCATTATTTTAATTGCAACATTATAGGCAAAAATATTATCCACCACAATTATTTCGATTCCAACTTTTTCTCGTCAAGACATAATTTATAGAGATTTCCTCATTCTCATTATTTTTAGGTACATGGACCTCCTATGTGGTGTCATCATTTATCATGTCTCAGAGCTCTTCATGAGAAATTGTCTCAATATTATGATAATCTTTATCATTTATTCCTTTCCTTTTTTGAGGATTTTTATCCTTGGAACCAATTGGTCTACCACGTTTTAAGCGTGATCCAGACTCATTTACCTTAATATATTGTCCTATAGGGACATCAACTCCAACTTGAGCATTAGCATTAGTAGCTGGAATATATGATTTAGTAACCCGTGAAAGGTTAGTAAATGCATCTTGTAGTTGATTTTCAATATTCTTCAAATAACTTATCTTTTGAACTTTTGCTCACATTGATTTGTTTGAGGATCTAACTGAGATAGTGAAAGTGAATTTAAATCTATCTCATTTCCCAAATGTTTTTGTTCTCCCCCTAATGTTGGGTATACTGATTCATCAAAATGACAATCAACAAACTTTACCGTAAATAAATCTTCAGTTTTAGGCAATCTTTGTGCGTTGTGGCGGAATAATTGAAACATATACCGTACAACCAAAGATTCTAAGATGAGAAATGTTTGGATCCT